TGTTATAAATATATTTGATAAATATTTTGTCAACTTTTTTCAACACTAACTTTGAATCCCAAGTGATTTGAGGCTAAGTTTTAGACTTATTTGTATGATTTAAACCCATTAGATATGATTTGTAATAGTCTTACAATATGTTTGCTCAATATTTTTTGCTCAGAGGTTGGAAACTTGTGTTACAATTGTTTTGCAAAAATTGTCACAAATATGTGTTAATTCTCATCTCTCATACAAGTCATATATATTTTAGTGATAAGTTTGATAAATCGGTCCCTTTTTTCAATGATTATAACGAAAATTGGTTTTTCCATTACTATACAGTCATTCGTTTATTGGCCTCTCATTTGATAATTACTGTAAAAATTCAATCGTATATACGTTTAGGGCTAACAATAGAAAGGTTTCATTCAATCAATCGCTCACTTTATACGCATATATCGCAGAAGAGCTTAATCTCAGAGCTTTTTGACGAAAAGTCTTAGACTTTTAATTCACATCTTTCTTAGAGATTAAGCGATTAATTTGATTAGCGATGGAATTTAAGTGTTCATTAAATGAGGAAAAGCTTAAGTCCATTGCGAATATGATGGCTCAGAGGCCAGGCTATGGCATCGAGCAGATCCATGGCCAGCGCTTTTACCGGCCGATAGACTTTAAATCACTGACTAAACCGGAAAAAGGGTGCGAAGTATTTGTTGGACGTCTTCCTCGGGATTGCTATGAAGACGAATTGGTGCCTATTTTCGAGAAGTTCGGTCAGATATACCAAATACGGCTAATGATGGACTTCAGTGGCACTAATCGTGGCTTCGCTTACGTCCAATACATGGATCCCAAAATCGCCAGTTGTGTCGCCAAATCACTGGACGGCATCCCTATTCGAGACATCCATCCGATCGGTGTAATGGTCTCGTGGGAAAAGACTCGACTATTTGTCGGCGGAATCCCGAAGTTTAAGAAAGAAAAGGATGTCCTCAAAGAGATGAAACGAGTGACTGATGGCGTCAAGTCTGTCATTATCTATATGTCTGTCTATAACAACAAGAATCGGGGCTTTTGTTTCGTTGAATACGAGTCGCACAGAGCGGCGATGATGGCTAAGAGCCGAATGGGCCCCGGATTCAAACTGTGGCGCAATCACGAGGTTCGGGTCGATTGGGCCGATCCCGAGCCTCAGGTCGACGACGAAATCATGAAACAAGTGATGAGTTTTTCTTTATAATGTTTTTGAGCCGAATGGGCCCCGGATTCAAGCTGTGGCGCAATCACGAGGTTCGGGTCGATTGGGCCGATCCCGAGCCTCAGGTCGACGACGAAATCATGAAACAAGTGATGAGTTTTTCTTTATAATGTTTTCCTAATTTAATTGTTTTATGATTTAAAGGTTAGAGTACTTCACGTTAGAAATCTTCACACCAATGTCGAGGAATCGGATCTGAGAAATATCTTCAGCTTTGATAACCTTCACGTCGAAAGAGTGAAAAAAATTCGTGACTTTGCGTTCATTCACTTCGAGACGAGACCTGACGCCGAAAAAGCGTACAATTTGTCCACAGGTTTTTGCATTGAATTTAGTTTTATTATAAAAGTTAGTGATGTTTTGCTCTAACGCTTTGTTACCATTAGGTGCGGAGTTCCGGAAGAATAATCCGACTCTGAAGATGATTCAGGTCTCGTATTCGCGACCGCAGAAGAGCCGTCCGACGCGATCGAAATCATTCCTATCTGAATGCGAATCGTTTCAAACGGATTCATGTCTGAGTGATTTGACGCCCAACTCACCCGCATATCCGGGATCGCAGTTCGTGTCGAATGGATTCTTGCAACAACTCAAACACTACCAGACTTTAAATCAAAACGGCTATCAGAACTGTTTGCCATTTGCTGCCAACTCTTATGGCTCGCCACCAATGGTTCCCATTAAGTATGATTTGGGAATTGGGGACAAGAATGACACTAATTCTTACGTTATTTTGTTTCCATTCCCATATTGGATCCCCAAAACCCCAAACAACAATAAACAAGCCATTGATAATTCCTTCCTCTATAACTATAACAATACTCTTATGTTCTAAGATATCTTAGTCTTGACTTGAGTCCCACATTTAGACTCCAAGACTTTATATAATTGAAATACAATAAAATATATTAAATGCTAACATGGATTTTTTTTTTATTTCAGTGTCGTTACTAACTTCTATCCATTCAACTAAATTAACCACACATTCACATAATATTCAATCTACTTATCAATACTCACACATCAGATGTGATACTATTTCTAACGTTTTCTAATTATTTGACTTAAAATTAAAATATTTTGTATATTATATAACATTTGGCTTAAGATTACATCTAATACAAGGAATAATGAATGAGAGAGAGGAGATATATCGAGACTTTTGGAAATGTGGTAAATTTAATAATATTCATGTTTTGTTATATGTTTTTATTAATTGTAAATTATGTGAAATATATGGAAAGGGATTTATGTTTGTTCCAAATGTGTGAGAGAGAGAGAGAGAGAGAGAGAGAGAATTTACTGGCGTTTCTTACAAATTATTCTTACGTTAGAAATATTATATATTCCTTAAATTACTAATACATTTACTGTTACTAACCTTAATATAACTAATATTTCTTGTTAATGCTGTGTTTGGTTTGTATTTCAAAGAATTAATCAAATAAAAAATATTTGTTTGAATGAATAAGCATTTATTAGTTTATGAAAACAAATACTTATGAAATTCATATAGTCTTCGATCTCTTTTGTCTCTTTAAAAGTTTTAACAAAAGGATGTCATTTGATATGATATTCAATCATAAGATTACAATTTAGCCTATTTTAAGGTATTATTCAAAATTATTTATTTTGTTGCATTTCGTTTGATATTTCTGTTAAAAATAAACAATTATTTAATTTATAATATAATCGATAAACTCATACCTTTTTCAGCGATAAACTTGAGCGCTTCCGATGAGATTCAAAAGCGTGACTTTCCTTCTGGTCCTTCATTGACCAACTCGTGTCCCAAACCAGCGCCACATTTACCGCATGTTAACTAACAATTTGTATACAAATATTAAAGTTGTAGTAAAAAATTCAATTTAAAACATACCTTAAAAGCTAATCTACTGACAAAACCCTCGCCTAAATCGCGACGCCGACCGATACTATTGTTGGCCAACACGTCTGAAAATGCGGGCCACGGGCTGTGGTGTCTGTATTTGGTCGCCGACGAGAACAATCGGTGATCACATTTGGAACAAACATAAATCCCTTTCCATATATTTCACATAATTTACAATTAATAAAAACATATAACAAAACATGAATATTATTAAATTTACCACATTTCCAAAAGTCTCGATATATCTCCTCTTTATTCCAACTGCAATACATTGATTATGACTCTAATATCGATAGATTTGTATCTAATTCTAGGCTATTTATAAGCATATTCTGCTTGATTTGTCTAAGAATAGAGTCGTGAGAGGGCCTTAAGACTTGTGATAATTACAAAAACCATTTAAATAGTGATTGATTTATTTGAATACCTAATTAATGAGCTTAACGTTCACTATATATCACACTTTTAACGCATAAATTGTGACACATTTCACGTGATTCCTGTCAATACTCTATAAGTTATGCTATTAATAAAATGTTATGAGAGTCACAGTATAATTGTATGTATAAATATTACTAACATATACTCATCAGTGGATCAGTTAATCGTTCAATTTATTGATTAATAATTTAATAAAATATGCAAAAATTAAATTTCTTTATTTCAAAGAATAACAGAATTTTAGTAACAGTATTAGAAAATGAAGAAAAACATAAACTATTTAATACTGATTTTTAAGGCTAATAATAAGACTCTTCAGTCTTTTCTGTCTCTTAACAAAAGATTTAACAGAAAGACGTCATCCGAAGTGATCCTAAGATGTCTTCAACCGCTACTGAAGATCACAATTCTTAGTCGTATTATTGCTATCGATTGCATTATTGTTGGTCTCTTGAGTCCCAAACTGATTGAGTCTCTCCAAGTCTTCGGCCGACAATTCTGTTCATTGG